ACTGAGCTACATCTGCAGCCCTTTTTATTTTGTATTTTAAGATGAGGTCTCATCAAATTGCTGAGGCTGGCCTTCAACTTGTGATCCTCCTGGCTTAGCCTCCCAACTCACTGGGACAGGTGTGTGCCATAGTTCCCTGTTAGTGAAAAGGTCTATTTTGATATAAGTTAAAAGTTAATGGGCTAGGGTTATGGCTCAGTGGTAGAGACTCACCCAGCATGTGTGAGGCACTAGGTTTGATCCACAGCATCACATAAAAATAAATATTGTGTCCAACTACAACTAAAAAAATAAAGTTAAAAAAGCAAATTGTGTATATATTCATCTGTCTATCCATCCCCCTATTCTACATTTTATAAGGTTAAAATATTAAATACACAAATAAAAGAGTCTGAAAGAATATGCATGGAACTGCATACAGCAGATATTTCTGGAGTATGAAAGTGAAGTAGGGGTAAAAGATCATTTCCTTTTTATTTTATATATGTTAAGAAAAATAAAAAGTTTGAAAGTGATGGGATAAAGAGTATTCTTTCCTAAAAGTGTCCTTTTTTGCCCCTTTCTTAATTTCAAATTAGAAAAAATTCAAACATGAAAAATTGAAAGAATAATAAAATGAATACTTATTTAACTGCAAACTGTATACAATTATCAACAAGCTTATTTTCTATTTTCTAAAATCTCTCAAACATGTGCTCTTTTGACATTAAAACCAAGACATATTGGGATGGTGGATTAAAATAACTAGGAAAACTTTGGAGACAGGGTTTCCTTAAATTCCTGAGACTGGCCTTAAACTCAAAACCCTCCTACCCTAGCCTCTAAAGTAGCTAGGATTACAGGTGTGTGCTACTTTCCTGGCTATTATTATTATTATTATTATTATTATTATTACTATTTAAAAAAAAAAAACTTTCCTTCCAGCCAAGGCTAATAAACAGAGTTCACTTTTGCCTACTATCCAACCCATCTGTCAACCCTCTGGAAATGCTATCCACAAAGACATGTGAGGTTTAGTAAAGGTTTCATTTTAAAGCTTCTTTAATAAGCAAGTATTTTCTTCCCTTCCTCCACTATTCTTAAAGATTTGTAAAACTTGTCAGCAGTTAATAATTCTAGAAAATTCCTCGACTCCATGTCCTCTTTCCTTTAGTAATGTTGTCAAATTTATTCTGCTATCCCAGGTGGTAAGTCTAACCTTGACGGCATGATAACCTGCCTATGTACTTATGTCTCCATTTTAACTTTGTAAAGTTCTTGGTGATACCAGAGGTGCCCCTGCAACGGAAAATTCCACACTAGTTCTGCCTGACCCTGGACACCTGTACTTGAAGACTTATTGATGTGAACCATTATTATCTTAAGACATTAGGCGGCTTAGGTTCTCTCAAACACAACCTGGCTGCATACTACTTGTCTGTACCTTATGGCAGATGTATACATTCAAGGACAACTGTTACCAGCAGAGGCAACTGCTTTCAATTGGAAAAGCCTGAGCCTCCCTGACCTGCTCAGATGCTGGAATGCAAAGTTTCACTATCAGAGGAACTTGGTTCTTACCCAATATTTATAAGTGTGATAAAGCAATTTTTCTCTCCATAACCCCCAACCTCACAAAGATGGTTATACTGAAAACATCAGACTTTTCTTTTCTTTGGGTCTTAGCTGAGTAATAGTAACAAAATTCTGAGTTGTTCCTGACCAAAGTGCCTGTGGCACTGCTAAATTAACAGAATATTGTCATAGGGAATTTGGAACATTGGACAAAAATGAGAAGACTCCTCAAAACTAGAATTTCCAACAAGAACAAATAACTGAAAATGTAAATGGATCTTCAAGATTTTCATTTTTTAGGAAAACAAAATTTATATAATCAGTGAACTAAGCCACATGCTTCCTTTACCTTCAGAGAGGCTGAATGAATTTCAAATGATTTTTTTTTTTTAGTATTTTATCATTCATAACAGACCCATCAGAAGTGGAAATCAATTTCCTTTCATGGGCAAGTTCTGCGCTAGGCACCAGGTATATAAATCAAATCACAGGTTTCTTATTTCATTCAAAGTAATTTTTTGAAATGAAAGTGTGGATAATGAATTCCCCACTTACGCATATCATTAATAAATTTTCTTAAATGTTATAAGGTTTGGGGATAAGCAATTAGACGTTCATAGGTATGAAATATATAATAGCATATTTCACACAGTAAAATATAAAACGTTTAAAATCCAAAAATTAAGTAGACTATTAGCATCTGCTATACAACATCTCATAAAGGATCACTTTATCTCACTACACAGAAAAACCCTTAATTCTTTGTGAATAAAAGGGAGAAATAAAACAGCACAAAAAGGTTGCTCGGTTAAAGATCCCATCTTCTGCTCTCTTCCTATTGGCAAGAAATTAAGGTAATTCATAGCTACTGGCTGGAATCCATAGTGGCTGAAGTAAATGGTCACATCTCTGTGAATTCACATTAGCAAGCTGAGTCTATTTCCTCTATAAACTGGTAAACTTTTCATGACAGGAGGCCACATCATAAAGCTTGGGAGAAAAGAGACTATTTCAACAAATCAAGCTTAAGTGGATGGCTCACCAGAGCCACAGGGCACAATACAATGCTTCCTGAGTGGGCACTTGTGCTAGGATCTTAGGACAATTTCTCCTTTTCTAGTCTCTTCCTCTACTGCATGTTCTTCCTTCTTTATTCATTTTGTCCACTTTGTTCCATATCCATTTGGTGATAAACGTAATCTTTTATTGGCACCTATCACCATTTTCACTTTGTAAAGGCCTTAGTAATACAAAGTGGTGCCATTTCACTTGTCACATTCTCTCTCCTTTCCAATGACTTGTTTGAACTTAACATATGCTCTCTATAAATGGAATTAACATTCCTGACACATGAGTAAAACAATCTTAATGAAATATTTGGATTTGCCACATTTGAAAAACTATCTGTAAGTGAAAGTGAGAGCTGGGAGAAGACAGAGGTCTCTTGAGAGAAGGCATTCTTGGTCTCCTGTGATCTCTTAGGAATCCTTTCTACACAGTTCATTTGTGCTTTGCAATTGAGCCTGGAAGCTTTCTCTGTGGCTTCCCTAAGAGAAAGGGAGAGCACTTCCCTCGGCTCTCTTCTTTCGGGACTACATTTACCTTCATACTCATGTACTTTAGCCTCTGCTGGAAGATCACAATTAGTTCCAGCACAGATCACAGTTTACAGAAAAGTAGTATAACACAGTAAGTTACTGGGGCTGGGGTTATGGCTCAGCGGTAGAGCGCTCGCCTCGCAAGGGCCTGGGTTTGATCCTCAGCACCATATATAAATAAATAAAATAAAGTTAGAAAAAAAAAGCTATTAAAAAAAATCAGTAAGTTACTACTAAAGAAAAGCCTGCTCTTTTTCTCTATTTCCAAAATGTATTATTGGTGATGAGGCAAGTTATGCAGGAATCATGTGGCATATAATGGCTTTCAGGGTTTCTTCTATTCATTCACAGTCAGCCAACATGGAGATGAATTTTTAGGTTCATTATTAAGAAATTTCCTGTAACCTGAAATAGTCAGTATACCATCTTAAACTACAGCTAACCAAGATTCATTGCAACTTATTGCATCTCAATTTTCCTTCAAGGGGCACCGAGAGGGCAAGTCAACATGAAGCATCCAGGGGACCACAGTGATCCAAGGGACCCAAGTTTGTTCAGCCATCATATGCATGCTCATGGTCTTCATTTATTAGCCTTTGAAAAAGGCATATAGGAAATGTTTAGCTATGTGAACAATTCTTCCACATTTTCCTTATGAAGGTATATTCTTGCTTTCTAAAAAACAAATTGAGAAGTCTAACCTCATTTGAGTTAGAATATTTTTTTAAAATCTGTGATCATTGTATAACCACTTTGAAAATGGTAAACATCTCTTTCCATTGAAAAGTTATTGGTTACTGTGATACCTTTATGTGTAAAAGAGAAAAAAATATGCTAAACACAATAAACTATGCATTTTCAATTCAAGGCATTTCATGGAGAATGTCTACTCTAATAGACCTATGTTGTAACAGGCTGGGAGTTAGAACATTCACTTGACACAAAGGAAGCTCGCCTACAATTTGGGGTACAATGCTACAACCAAATGTTAATCCAAAAGACTTCTTAGAGCAACTCTATTTTGTTCATCAGCATAAGGTATTAAGACACTGCCACTCAACTTTGTACTCTTAGCTCTGTCATTTATTTGCCACTCATTTGCTATGAACAAATTTTGGTTGAAAGAAAACAAAATAGATCTGGGCTTGCATTAACAATAATGGACAAAATGCCCCTCAGTATTTTTCCTCTGTTGAAGCACTTATTCTTCATTAAGAAAAAACTATGTTTCATGTATCATGTATATTTACTGCATATATATCTGCAGTAAAACACCAAACCAAACCAAACCTGAATTTATCAGTGAGATTGAGCATAGAAAATATTTTAACAACATTTGCAATTGTGCCTGGAATTTTTCCTCTTCTCCTTCCTGTCTTTTGTTCCTTTCTCTCTTCCTTCCTCCCTCTTTCAGAATAGCATAAACAAAAATAGGAACATATAGAACAAATCTATGCTTTCCCCATGGGATGAATGGTGTAAACGTTCATCTGTTTATTCATGCATACACTTTGTAAGATGAGAAGCTATATCTTTCCAGAGTGGCGTCAATAAAAAGAATAAACTGTATTAGATCCATTAAAAGTGCTAGACATTTTTACAAAGATGATAGCTTTTCGAAGATTTAACGAAAACTACAATTCTTTGCTCTCCCCCAATCCACTTTAGAACTGTACAAAAATCATAATTTCCTTTCACACATAGGATGGGGTGAGCCTCAACAATATTAAAAGAGCAGGAAGAAAGAAGCTTTAAAAAATGATATATTCATCTCTCAAAACGATATCACCTGGGCTATAAAACTTCCCGCAAAGGCTGTATTTGGGACAAGCAGGGTCATGCTCTTACCTGGTGTTTGAAAGTTAAGCCGTCTCAGTTCTACTGGGTCTGTTGGATGGTGTGAAGGGACCTCCTTACTGTTCGGTATGCTGCTCTTTCTAGATTCAGACTCTGCCCTCTTCCTATAAGGAGAAAATTAAAATTTAAGAATTGAAAAACATTCTTTTTAAAAGTAGAGAGTCACACCGCCCTCCACTCTCAAGTTTCCAGTTTCAAAACTTTCCAACCAGCTAGTATTATAGCCTTGGCCAGGGTGCTTTTATTTTCTGTTGGCCTACAGTGATGCTTCAGGTCTAAAATGTTTAAGTGGATGATCTCAAAGTTCTCCTTCTGCTCTAGGATTAAACGATTCAGTGCCTCTGCCTTTTGGCTTTAATGGTGTGTTAGTAATAGAGCGCTTCGTCTTGTTCAGCCATCCTCTCTTACCTACCATTTATATTTTGTGAGAAATGGGTACGGTGCCCCTAGTAGCCAAAACAAACATTGTTACAATAGAGAAACTACCTGGCCTTAAGCTGAACAGCTAAATCTTTCCTCTTCTTAGGAATATATACCTGGCGACTACAGAGTGGAGATACATTGAATTTTCCCATAAGGCGGGTAAATGTAGTAAATGCATTTCTAAGATATTACTGTATCTTAATACCTAGAAGGAGAATTGAAACAAAACAGACCAACATGCCCTTTCTCTTTCAAACTGGAAGAAAAGAGGACAGTTGGCTGTTTACAGTGACATTAAATTATCTTGTTAATGAAAAGCAATCACAGAATGATCAGAGAAAAAGTAATTTCATCTCATGGGCACTCCACCTCTCCTGATGAATATTCAATGTAACATTAATGGTGCCTTGTTACAAATATCATTTTTCACAAAGTTCATCCTGTCTTTATTTTACAAGCTATCTATTGGTTGTACTAAACATACTTATTTAAACTCTCATAATAAAATGTTAAACTTCAAGGTAAGACATTTGTTCATAAACTTTCTTTATCCATTTTTCCAAATTCAAATAACTATCTCCTCGTAGACTGAATTAGATTAAAAATCCCATCATCAAATGGAAGCCTTTTTCAGACTGTGCTTTTTTCCCTCAAATATAATCTCTGAGCTAGATTATCATCCTATCCAGCATCATAGCATCTCACTCCTGGCTCAGAGCAAAAGCATCCTCATTCTGGGAAAGAAGTGCTTCCAAGTAGATAGGTGCTTTCTCTTCCATATGTGATTGTGGTACAGCTCATTAGTGTTGCTGTGGCAATGGGTTCTCATTCAAGGCCAATCAGCACATTCTATGGTTAGCCAAAGGGTGCCTATTAAGTAGCCTTTCTTTCCATCTCTGCTGTATAAAACAAAACTAACCAGGGGATGAAGGGAAGATGGATGCAAAGGGGATGTGCACTTGGTTTGCTCAAGTGCAATGCCTTCAGCAAAACATCCTCACTAGAATGAATTTCCTTGGGCAAGTCCTATTAGCCACCTTGCTTTCTAAGCTTCTTGGATTAACCTGTCTCAGGATTTCTTTTTTTCTACCTAAAAGTGTCAGGTATAGCCTTAGGATAGAATGTACTGCCAAGCCAGACTACCAATCAGAGGTGAGTAGTGATTTTGAAATGTGCCAAGGTACTGGCAGCTCCAGATACATGGAATAGAAAACGAAAAGGAAAAGAAGATATGGAAGATTGGTGAGAAAGATGAGAAGGAAGAGAGATGCGGGGGGCTCAAAAAACAATGGGAAAGGAGCATATGATGACCAGTTTCAGAATAGAAAATGTCACTGCATTCACGCTATGGGTATTTGCCTCACAACACTGAGAGATTCATTTTACCACCAAAGATGCAAAATCGAAATGGGTTAATGAAATGTCACCGAGTTCAGCTAGCCAATCAATCTCTCACAAAGGCTATGGTTGGTCTTCTCACTTCAATTAATACCAGTGTCCCATCTCAGGCTTTGGCCTTTTCATGGAAGTTGGCACAAATCTGCTTCTTAACTGATGTACTAGGCCCAATGACTAAAACATGGATTTTTCTTCCTTTCTAGAACGGCTCTTCTGTCATCCCTGCAAGATTACGGGGAACCAGAATTAGAAATATCTGGGCAAGGAAACTGCTTCACCCTTACAGGTGTTGTGAAACAACCTCCTTATCTTCTTTTTTCCAGAGGCCAGTCTGAGCGACACTGAGCCAGAGGGACAGAAAAGAAAACTCTCTAAAGCAATTTAGCCAATTTTTCTTGTACCAGGAAAGTTGGAAATCATGTCTTGTTGTCAAGATATGAGTCTCAGAAAACCCAGAGTATGGGAATAAAATTACTTACAATTCAGACTTGCAATGAGCGGGGAGGGGTGATCAGACATTTAATAACTAACTTTTCCCTTACTCTATTTGTTCACATGAAATGAACTCTAAGACTTCCCAAATCTGAGCCAGCTATGAAATCAGTTGTCTTGCCTTTTATTTATTTTTGTTAAGTTTTGTTTTGAAGATCACAACATGGATGATTCTAGCTGCTGATACTCTCAGCACAATAGTTTTATATGTTTTTATGCTAGAATTTTCTTCTAACACAGAAGGCATTTCTAAGACTTGGAAGATGAAGTGTTGGTCATCATTGGTAATAATGTAAAGAGCTTTTAAACACTGAATTTACTGTCAAAATATTAAAAGGCATATGATAATCTAAATCAAGCCCAACATGAATGTACAGGGTAACATTTTCTTAATAAGCTTACACAGGTCTCATTTTCTTTTTCTATTAGAAAAATGCAAAGAATAGTGACTAGACATGGATTCTTAATTTTGTCTTGTTATAATTTCTATTAAGAGTATAAAACCCTAGTGTAAGTTTATTGCTCACAGTGAGAAGTATCTACCCATGTGCAGGGATTACATGGCAAAAAGGAAATGAAAGATTACATGATATTTGAGATCTGTCAGAAAATTTAATGCTAATATGATAAAAAGGGGTTGTTTGGGAAGTGGGTAGTATGAAGCACAAATACTGCTTTATGGTCTAAGGGATGTTTCATTTTCACTTTCATCTGTCTCTCATCTAGGGAGGATGCAAGAACAAAGGGAAGGTGTATGAAATATCCTATTTCTGGCCTGAAAATAAAGACATTCAGCCATCTGGGAATAGACTTTTGAAAGAGATAATACTTATTTGAAATCTCTACTATTGATATTCAAAGAATCTACTTCAAACATGTCACAGTTCTGATACCAGGAAGACTGTAATCTCAAATCTGGTAAGGCCATCGCTAGGTGTTTTCTCAATTTCTTCACTTACACGATAAAGGATTGCAATGTGCTGTATAAATTTTGGCCCAACTCTCTCATCTTAACAGAATGAGGAGGCAGCGATTGAGTTGTAAAATGTATGCAGTGTCACAGTGGAAATTAGAATATGAGATTGTTTCCGAGTTTTGTGTTTGGCCTGGGGGAAGGGGGGAAGGGAAGAACAATGCTGCTTGTGTTTTTCTGCTGGATTAATGGAAAGTAGAGATGTCCACAAGAGAAGACACCTTGCAGAAGTCTTAGGATCCCTATCATTGAATGCATAGCTTTCTGGCCAGTATAAAGTGAAGATAACACAATCATGGTTCTCAAACTTGAGTGTACATGAGAATCGTGTGTGTGTGTGTGTGTGTGTGTGTGTGTGTGTGAGAGAGAGAGAGAGAGAGAGAGAATATTCTGCTGCTCCAGTGCTTGGAGTTTCTGACCCAGGTCCCAGGTCCCAGGTTGGGCCTAAGAACTTGTATTTCTATCAAGCTTCTAGGGGACACTGATGCCACTCCTGTGATCCAGGGTACACTTGCTAAGAGCCATTGGAGCACAATGATGGGAGGAAGAAGTAGGGATTCTCTGAAATCCTTTCCTTAGTTTATTTTAATCAGGAATTTATACTGGTGTAGATATATTTACATATGCATGTGTCTAAATGTATACATATGAATGGGAAAGTGGGAAGGTAGTTTGGACTCATCATTTAATAATAGCACTGTGTATTTTAGATATTGTTATTATTGTTATTAATCAAGGCAGAAAGACACAGGTAATAATTGTGAATTAGGAAACAGCTTTCACTAAGGCACTGTCCTCAATATTTCAGGGTGTGAAAAATGCCAGTATCCCTGTAGCAAATGATGATCTCTGATCAAATTTGAAAACTGATCTTTAGTAAGAAACAAACATAACAAAACAAAAAGGCTCATGGGACACCTCAGATTTCCACTCTGCAGACACATTAACACAAACATGCTCATTTAACCTCGACTACACAGAAAACTCAAAAACTGGCTTTACTACCTTCTCAAGTTGGCTTTAAAGAATGTTTTTTTATCCCCCAGAGACAAAATAGTTATTTTCCTCAATCATTTTAATATCAAAATTATCATTTCCATGTAGGCTGTGTCCATTTTCCACTATGGAGTTATCCTCCATAGGCAGCCCCCACCCTTACCTCTTCAACACCTCCAAAGTCTATTTGGAGAATCTTATTTTTTCTTACTGAGCATTGAAGGGGTTTGTTCTCTATTCCTCACCTGTCAGGCTTACTGCTCCATTTTAATGCGGCAAAAAAAGAAAAAGAAAAGCTAAATGTTAGTTGGCCAATGGTAACAAGAGTAACCATGACAACCAAGATTTAAAAACTAGTGCTCACAAGCAAGGATACATAACTGACACATATTAGGAAATGATAGTGTATCAAAATACTTCAAGGCCTCTAATCATGAAGTAAATGGAGGACACGAGGTTGCATTGCTGAATAAAAATGTGTGTATGTGTGTGCGCGCTAATGTATGTTCACTTTTCTCCATCACCTACAAAAATACTGCCACAGTTAATTATATCCCAGGAGGTGTTTGATGATGGAGATATAATTTCATTTTTACAAAACATGCCATGAGAAAACTACTAATGTACTTGATGATGAAAATACAACAGCATTTCATAAAAGAAATTCATTCATTTGAAATAAAGAGTCTTCAGTTAAGAGGTACACTATTGCTTTAATGATATGGAATATCTGCAAATTGCATTGAATTGCACAAAAAATTTCACAATTGAATACTAGACCACAAGGTAATAAAGTGGCAGAAATGATTTCTTCAGACATCT